AATCACTGCATAGAAAAGTCATAACGCGAGCGACTGTCTTTAGCTCTAGCACACGTACTTCGGTAGGTGACAATCCGTGACATTCCCCACATAACAGTACTTTACAGGAATCACATGTTACAGATGTTTTTTTTATTATTTGGTGGTTTAAGGCACTTGGAACATATTCCAGATGGTAAGTTGGTATTTTTTTTTTATTTGAACTCATTTTTGGTAGTAGTTATTTTAATTGTATTGCTGACAACACTGTGTCGAATTTAAAAAAAAATCTTTAGGGTATTTTAATAAACTTTCTTTAATATGGTGTCAAATATTAACTAAGTTTTCACTATTTTGGATGTTTTATGCTGTTTTACACCGAAATAACACTTGCACAAAACCCACTAATATTGTTGAGCACTTTTAAAATTATTATAATCAGTTTCGTCCACTTTTTTGTTTAAAAACTAAATTATTCTGTAGAGCCTATTTATTACACCTCAGTCATTTGACAGTTCACTCCAGTGATTTCTCCAATTTATTAAACATTGGCCTATGTTTTTAATCCCAGAAGCAGAACATTATATTTTATAAGTACTGAAAATTCGAATTATACAATGACAAAATATATAAATATATGAAGAGAACAAAAAATCGAATGACTAAATAGTTACATAAACACTCAATTCTCTATGTAATAAAGAAGTGTGCAGATTACACGCGGTAGATGTGAAACCTTCAGAAAACTAAACTTCAATACAATGAGACAAATGCAGAGTATCAGATGTAGGATAATTGTATCATGTAGTTAAAATGTCTATAATGTCATCACTATAAAATCTTTCCTCGCTCAAAGGCTAAGTATAGCCATTCAGCGGGGAAACGCAGCCAGCGTTCTTGGCACGATACCGCGGGGAGTAGGACTATATGATAATGAAGTTTCTAGTTTAAGTTTTTTTTTATTATCATAGTTTTTAATATTGTAGATAAAATTAAGTATTATGTAAAATGTTCAATATAAAATGTTAAAATTAAAATAAATTTATGATAAACTTTGTACATATACTGTATTCTATCTCTTTCTCTCGCAGGCTAAATCCTATAGATGTATATGTTTGTCTCTTTCTAATGTCGCTTCACACTGTTTCTAAAGAAGTTTTCACTTCACAAAAGATCATTAAAATCAGTTCACAAAACACACAAATACTAAATTAAAGTCCACTACTGAACATTGGCCTCCATGGATTGCCTCATAGGAGGAAATTTGCCATAGTTGGTAATGTTACTGTTGATTTAATAATTTCACCTCTCAGTGGGTCGTGTGCTCCTGGTAGATTATCTTCTATACATCCATCCATTACAGCCTATTAAAGTCCACTGCTAAACATAGGCCTCCCCCATAAATTGCCTCATAGGGAAGGTATTTGCCATAGTTGCCAATTGCAATGTTGGATTGGCAAGTGGAAGTGGCAACAGCAGTTTTTTATTATTTTGTGTTATCAGAAAGATGCTGCTGCCTATCCCCTATTTCAGTTTCCATCTGTCGCCTCTTACAAAACCCGCAGTACAGTATGGGGTAGTGTAGTGTACATAAAAAATTGCAGTTGCCAAATTGTGTACCATACACGGTTTGGCAACTGCAATTTTTTATGTTTAGTCATTATTAAGAAGACGCAGCTGCTCATCTCCTGATTTGTTTCCCTCTGTCGCCTCTTACGACACCCACGTGACGATATGGGGTAGTGGATATTCTTACACCACACACTATACATTTTCTTATATTACACAAATAATACACTTGAATAAAAGTAACTGTCACGGATTTTATCGCGTATTTGTTTACCGCTGCGCATAAATTAAACGCGATAAGGTCCGTAAAATTAGTTTCATTCAATATGCAATTGAATTGATAACCCTTCCATTTTTGAAGTCAACTAAAACATAGTCTGCTGGCCATATGAGGAAGCTCAAGGTCGCTCAGCGAGCTATGGAGAGGGCTACGCTCGGGGTGTCTCTGCGTGATAAACTTAGAAATGAGGTTATCCGCAGTAGAACCAGAGTAACCGACATAGCCCAACGGATTAGTAAGCTGAAGTGGCAATGGGCCGGCCATATAGCACGAAGAACCTACAACCGATGGGGACGAAAGGTTCTCGAGTGGCAGCCTCGTACCGGTAGGCGAAGTGTAGGGCGACCCCCCACTAGATGGAGTGACGACCTGGTGAGACATGCAGAAAGTCGATGGATGCAGGTGGCTCAGGAATGTGCTTTGTGGCATTCCTTGGGGAGGCCTATGTTCAGCAGTGGACTTGTGAAGGGCTGTAATGATGATGATAATGATGAAAACATAATCGAATTGAGAAACTCGCTCCTTCTTTTTCTACCGACTTCAAAATGGAGGAGGTACTCAATTCGACTGTATGTGTATTTTTATGTGTGTTACCTCATAACTTTTTTCTGGGTGAACCGATTGTAATGGTTTTTTTTTATTTGAAAGCTGGTACTTATTTTATGGTCCCATATAAAATTGATCAAGGTCTGATCAATAGCTTTTGAGTTCTTCTTTATAATTAATATTGAAGTTGGTTGTACAAAATTTTTAATTTTAAATTATTAAAAATAAAATTACTGAAAATATCGAAATAAAACGATTAAAAAAGTATGTGTATGCAGTATTTCCTGTGCCTCGTTTGTCTGGTGGTTGTAAACGCAATTACTGATTATGATGTCACGGGTTCTAATACCGGATCTGACCAAAAAATCAGTTATTGAGCTTTTACATACATAAATTTTACCCGTGTAGTGGCGGCTAAAGAATACTCACTACCCCATATCTTCCCACGGGTGTCGTAAGAGGAGACAGAGGGAAACTGAGGTAGAAGATGGGCAGTAGCATCTTTCTGATAACAGAAAAATAATAAAAAACTGCGGTTGCCAACCCGCTCGCCAAGCGTGGCAACTATGGCAATATGCTCCGATGATTAAAGTTACGAAGAGACGGCCCCCAGTCCAGGGCAGAGGGTACCTTAGCACTGTAGGTGGTCACGAACCTCCACCGGAGATTCTTAAATCTCCAGTGGAGGTTCGTGACCACCTAAGACGACTCAACCTGGCAACTTATAACGCACGCACCCTGAGGACGGACGAGAAGATCCTGGAGCTGAAAAAAGAGATAGACAAGTTGCGCTTGATTATTATAGGATTATCTGAGAACCGAAGAGAGGGGGAGAACATGGTAATCCTCGAATCCGGCAACTTGTTCTATCACCGGGAGGGCGACCATCTGTCCCAAGGAGGTGTCGGATTTATCGTCCACAAGTCTCTCGTTAAAAACGTTGTAAAGATTGAGAGTGTGTCGACCAGGGTTGCGTACTTTATACTCAGAATCATCAACCTATATTCGCTGAAGGTGATACAGGTTTACGCACCAACCTCGGCACACCCTGACGACTTGGTAAGACATGCAGGAAATCGATGGATGCAGGTGGCTGAGGACCGTGCTTTGTGGCATTCCTTGGGGGAGGCCTATGTTCAACAGTAGACTTGTGAAGGGCTGTAATGATGATGATGACGATACATAAACAGTCACGCCTGTCACCCAGAGGGGTAGGCAGAGACTGCGGGCTTCCATTCGGCACGATCCTGACACACCTCTCTCGTATCCTTTACATCCATATACTAATGCATATACATATTATGCTTGGGTACGCTTATGAGTTTTTCTATCAAGAAATTCTCATTTCTCAATTCTCTCTGGTCCTGTTGCATAACCGTCCCATCAGACTATGAGAATGAGGGAATATGCACCTGTGCTTGACACAGACTTGTACTTTATGATACTGTCCTGTGCAAAGCCTAGTTTCCGTTGAGACCGACCTGCGCATATAAATGGTCTGGAGGACACATCTACTAGTATTAACATTTTTAATTTTTGTTTGTATCGTTAATACGTATTTGCTCTAATGTCATTACCAGGGGGAAAACAGGGTATGTTTGTATAGACTGGACGTCGCGTCGCCTCAATATCCTTTATATTAGACTACTGTTCAATACAAAAACTAACGACATTATTGGTAGTATAAATCTACATATATAAAAATCAATTGCTGCCCGTTAGTCTCGTTAAAACTTGAAAATCATGAAATCAATCATCAGTCGAGTCTGAGTTTGATGATTTTTTTTTGTGTGTTGAGTGGGTCCCTGTATGGTTTAGATTCACAATTGGACCCGATAGGTGGCGCTGTTGTTGAGATCCAGAAATCACCCGTGCGAAACCAGGGCGGATCGCTAGTATGTAATAATAATAATAGAGTCGCATACAGTCTATAATTATGTTAGTAGTAAGTTATTACACATAATTATTGATTAAAATTTTTTTGGGCATCCCATGACACCAGGCACATACAAGTGCATACGTATCCAGTGCCCTGGGATAGGATAATCAAATTTATCAGATATCGCCCTCAGAATGCTATTGGAGCTCCCAGGAACCCTGCGCATGAGGGATGCGATTCTATTTGCATGAAAGCCGTCCGTACCATGTGCTGTAAATATCCCTGAAGCGCTACAATACCGCGGAAGTCCCATCAGCACCCTAGTAGTAGGCTCTCTTTTTTTTACGTGGTAGAGCCATGCTGCAGCTATATTACTTGTATAGTTGTAGCACGAATGGGTCGGCTCGACCGCGGAAGGACCACACTCTCACAGAATACCACCCTAAAATAGCAGCATAACTCTGCTGTGTTTCGTATGGTGAGTGTAGAGAACCGGAGACCCTTTTTTACTGGAAACGAGGCATTCCATCTCAATCCTCACGGCTGACAATGCATCTGCATTTTGATTCCTAATCGAGGATAGATGTAGACGTCTATGGGCCACAGCAACCACTTACCATCAGGTGGACTGTATGCTCATTTGTCACCCTAATTCTATAAAAAAAAAACTTAACCGATAGACTGCACGTGTAAAATGACTTACGAAAGGCTTTGAAGAGCTTTAATATATGCCTATATTGTACACAGAGCGAAGTTCCGGAGGGGCGTCGAGAGTCGCGGTCCTCGAGCAGATCCAGCGCAGTGCCGGAGACCCGTCGAGCCACTAGAAACTCGTTCTCCAACTCACCAGCAAGTCCATCCACAAGGACCAGGCAGCTCAGGGACAACAGGCCGATTGAAACGGTAAGTCGTCTTCAAAAAATAATAATACAGAATACCAGCGTAAAATAGCAGCTTAATACTGCCGTGTTTTTTGTATGGTGAGTGTAGAGAACTGGATAACGAGGCATTCTATCTTAGTCCTCAGGTGTGACAATGCATTTGTATTTTGATTCTTAATCCTATGGGCCACAACATCTACTTACCATCAGGTGGACTGTGTGCTTGTTTGTCACCCTTATACTTTAAAAAAAATATGTAATAATGCCTAATTTTAAGATAATTAATAGAATGAAGCGTTACTTTGCGGAAATCCATTATATTAAAGTTGGTAAAAATTATTTCACCTATATCCGCTTGATTTAAAAAAATGATGTGTCTTACCTAGTTTAAAGCTCCTTTTTGAAGGCGCTTTTCAACCGTGTTTTTTTTTTGGCCGTGTTGTTTGCTTTTCTTACGTGGTAGAGCTATACTGCAGCTATATTAATAGTATAGTTGTAGCACGAATGGCTCGGCTTGACTGGGGAAGGACCACGTTCTCACAGAATACCAGCGTAAAATAGAAGCTTAATGCTGCTGTGTTTCGTTTTTTTTTTTTATAGGAGAGGGGGCAAACGAGCATGCGGCTCACCTGATGGTAAGTGACTACCGCCGCCCATGAACAACCGCAACACCACGGAGGGAATTGCAGATGCGTTGCCGGCCTTTTAAAAAGGAGTAGGCTCTTTTCTTGAAGGTCCCTAAGTCGTATGGGTCCGGAAAAATCGCTGATGGTAATTGATTCCACAAGGAAGTCGTGCGAGGAAGAAAACATCTTCTAAATCGCACAGTGGTGGACCGCCAATCATCCAGATGGTGTGGATGGTATCGGGAGTTCAGTCGCGATGTGCGTTCGTGAAATTTGGCGGCTGGGATTAATCCGAACAATTCCTCAGAGTATGGTGAGAGAACCGGAGACGCCTTTTACTGGAAAAGAGGCATTCTATCATACTCCTCACGGCTGACAACGCATCTGCATTTTAATTCGCAAACGAAGATAGATGTAGATGTCTATGGGCCACAGCAACCACTTACCATCAGGTGGACTGTGTGCTTGTTTGTCACCCTTATTCTATTAAAAAACCGACTTCAAAAAAGGAGGAGGTTATCAATTCGTCGGAATCTTTTTTTTATGTATGTATACTGATTCCTCAAAGACTCCTGAACCGATGTGGAATTTTTTTTTGTTTCGAGATGTTTATCGAAATCAGTCGATCGGATTTAAAAAAATCAACAATAAATTAATTATATTGAAGTCGGTCGAACAAAAATTTTCAATTTTGCCATTTGTAATATAATGGATTTCTACAAAGTAACGTCTGATTCTATTAATTTTCTTAAAAGGGCATTATTTTTTTTTTGAAACTTCTAACTACGTAAGACATCATTTGATTCAATTAAGTGGATATAGGCGAAGTAATTTTTTTTAACTGGCTTTACGGCTCTGGGTTCTAGCCCTTCTGAGCCTACAGATTGGCGAAGTAATTTTTACCAACCTTTCAGAAGTAATATCCATATAGGTTATATATTGAGTAATCAGTTAACATACATTAAAAAAAGATGCCTGGATCGATTAGGATTTTTTTTTGTTTCAAAGGGTATATTTCAGAAGTAATATCTATATAGGTTAGTGATACAATATAATATTTAAGAAAGTACCGTTGGTAACGTATGTACACCGATTTAAGCTAAATTACGAACTAAAGTTCTTATGTAGCAAGTTAAGTGAGCGGTGTTTTTGGATATGGATTATTGCAAATATGTTACGCGAAGAAATCTGTTTGTTTTGAACTTATCGAGGTCATTACTGAAAGAAATTTTAAGTATTGGTACAATTATATTATTTAAAGTATATAAAGAACGGTGCATGTGTAACACTGAACTCAAAATCGTATTCAAAATGTGATAAAGCATGTCAAACAGAATTTTGTAATGTAGCAATGGAAGAATCCACAGGTAGTGAACCCGATGATTCTTCAAAGTTTTTCGTGGTCAAAAATAATCTGTATCTCTTGCATCAAAACATAAACGGAATTATTAACAAATCCGACCTACTTCTGTAAATACTACTCTGAAAATAAAATGACATTAAACATTTACATTCAGTACCTACTATAATAAGATGCCTAATGATATACGGAAAAGAAATAATATACAAAGCTTCAGAAAATCATTAAAAACATTATCTATACAAATAAATAAAATTGAAGTGTCTGTTTGTAATCTCAAAATAACAATTTTTTACTAAATGCATATGAAAGTATATACGGTACTTATAACAAAAAAACACATTTTAAAGTTTTTGTCTGTCTGTTTGTTCCGGCTAATCTCAGAAACGGCTGGACCGATTTTGACGGGACTTTCATTGGCAGATAGCTGATATTATAAGGAGTAACTTAGGCTACTTATATTTTAGAAAAGTAGTTAGGGTTCCGCGCAACTTAACTAAAACCCTAAACTACACGCGGGCGAAGTCGCGAGTAACAGCTAGTTAATTAATAAATCTTACTATTCTATTAATGAATATCTTAATGACATAGAAATTAAATAATTGTTTTGGTATACGAGGGTGACACGAAAGTTTTTAGAACTGGCCACTTCTAAACGCTATAATAAAAAAATAAGTTCAAATTTTTAAAATGGAACTCTGACAATATTATTGTGTACGTATTTAATTAATTTGTCATTTGTTTACGTTTTGGTGGGAAATTGAAAATTGTCTGAGTCAGGGTCAGCATGAATTTAACGCGTGAAAATTTTCGTGACATTCGATGTCATTTAAGTCAACAAGAAAGTTATGATAGACTTCGATATGCCTTTCACAATGAAGCCCCATGTCGTGCCACTGTTTGCAACTGGTTTAATGAATTTAAACGTGGTGGCACTAATCTCACCAATGATCTGCGTGAGGGACGGCCTTCTACGGCGACAACTGAAGATAACATCAGTGTTGTGCGGCGTATGATAGAGACTGACAAAAGAGTGACTTATCAGTAGATTCGGACAAGCTTAGGCATCGGCATGAGTCGGCAAGTGCACAAAATCCTCCATGAACATTTAGCTGTCAGGAAGCTTTGTGCCCGGTGGATGGATACCTTATAATTTGACAGAGGCCCAAAAATTCCGTCGTGTTGATTGGTGTCGTGAAATGGTTCAAAGATTTAATGGAAGTGACTCAAATGCTGTGTTCGACATACTTTCGGGTGACGACAGCTGGATTTCTTGTTATGATCCTGAAACTAAGAGACAGTCTGCTGTCTGGGTGATTCCTTCCGAGGAGTTGCCAACTAAAGTGAAGAGAAGTCGAAGCGTGGGAAAAACGATGGTGGCCTCGTTCTTTGGAAGGACAGGTCATTACGCTACAATTGTTTTAGAGGACCGATAAACAGTGACTGCTGAGTGGTACACTAATAATTGTATGCCACTTGTCTTGAAAAAAGTTCGGGAGAGACGACCTCGCAGTAGGATCCTCCTTCACCATGACAACGCCTCGTCGCACACTGCCAAGCAAACAATCGACTGCTTGGCGACGTCAGACGTGGAATTACTGGGTCACCCGCCCTATAGCACCGACCTCGCACCTTGCGATTTTTATTTATATTCGAAAATAAAACAAAAATTTCGAGGAAAATGTTTTATGGACGCCGAGGAAGCAGTGGCTGCATTGCAAAATGCCGTCGAAGAGACCCCTAAGGACGAGTGGGCAAAGTGCTTTTCATTCTTAGACAAACATATACAAATACCGATAATCACAGCATAAATTTGTCAATGGGAATGAAAGAAACGAAGAAATTGTAAGCATTTTTACACAAACATTAAAACACACACACATAGAGAACAAAATACAGAACGAAATTTTATTCCAAAACAAACATGTTCAAAAAAATAGCAAATATAGTTCATTGTATAAATACAAACATTCTACCAATACATGTAAAGAGTGATACCGATTTTAACGCTCTGCAAACAATTCTTTATTGTGCAGCATGGACTGATGCTAAAGCTAATGGAGCCAACATAAATATCCCACTAACATAATCAACCCAACGTCCCCTACGTCGAATTATCAATAAACCAAAATGGCAAATAAGACTTGAAAACAAGGTGGAACACTTACAACATTATTTAAACCGAAATAGAATCAATAAATTAAATAGACACGGTAGGAATATCCTAATCAATTACTGAATTCATACAATTCATGAGTTACCAAACACTATAACACATTTCCTAGACACACTTAAACAAAAATTATTAGTCGTTGTTGGGTTTAAAGCTCCACTTGTGCTGGTGGAATTCTTGACTAAATAAGAACTTCAATATGTAGACTGTGTAGGTAATTTATTGGTTGCTATAAGAGAGGTAGCCGTAATGCGTGCGTTCGCGACCGGGTTGTTCCGAGCAAAAAGTTGCAGCGGTGCCGCGTTGTCTCCATGACGGTGGTGGGGCCGTGAAGCGCTCGCAGAACCGGTTTGAGATCCGCTGCCCGACGACACGAGCCGGGGGTGTATCATAGGCAGTGGAACGTCAGGAACAGTCGTTTAAAACGATACATAACTTGTACACTTCGCAAAACACACAACAAACAGTTCACCATGAATGAAAATAAGTTTTACAGAAATCTTAAACTATCCACTAATAACCAAGGGACTATTGAAGAAATTACTTCTTCAATAGAACCAACACATTTTCATAAATTCTGGTCAAATATATGGCAAACTATTATGCAATAAAACATGGACGCAGAATGGATCAAATACGAGCAAGACCAATACAGATATATTAAACAGATGTAATTTCAGTTCACCTATAGAAATATATCAAAACACAATTTGTATGGAAAGCACCAGGAACCGATAACATTCACAATTACTGGTACAAAAAATTTACATTACTGCATCCATTTATCTATAATTACATTAACAAATTCGTTCAAGATCCACAATTATTACCTGAATATATTATTACAACAGGAGTAACTTACATGTTACCTAAAGATCAAAATAACCTCACCAATCCAGCTAAATACAGATCCATAACATGTCTGCAAACAATTTATAAAATTTATTATTTATTATATATTAGCCAACTTATTTGCGCTCATATTGAGCACAATAACTTTTTAGCTGTACAACATAAAGGTTGCCGCAAATCTGGTCAAAGGTGCAAGGAACAACTTATAATAGACTCTGTGATATTAAAAGTGCAACGAACAAAGAAAGACTTATATACTATGGACATAGATTACCAAAAACCCTTTGATTCTCTCCCTCATACGTGGATTTTCAAAATTTTATATATTCACAGGATTTATATATTAGATTAAGTTTAATTATCTTTCCAGCAAGGGAGGAATCCAGTGGCGCCACTGAAATCGATACTGAAGAAAGAGAAGGAAGTCAATATAAAGGTAAATATATCGGTAAATCCAATAGAGCATGCCTTAAGCGCATTAAAAAAATTACGTATAACATGATTATACGGAATTTTTTAAAGTAGTTTAAATACATTTCGACAACACTATCGGCTTCAACACCCTCGAAAGCCATGAAAATGACACCCATGATGAAAAAATTGGTACGTACTTCAGCCGCCACCTTGGATTTACATTTCGACAGCACTATCGGCTTCAACATCCGCGAAAACCACGAGAATGACACCCATGATGAAAAAATTGATACCTATTGCAGCTGCCATCTTGGATTTACATTTCGACAGCACTATCGGCTTCAACACCCTCGAAAACCATGAAAATGACACCCATGATGAAAAAATTGGTACCTACTTCAGCCGCCGTCTTGGATTTACATTTCGACAGCACTATCGGCTGCAACACCCTCGAAACCCATGAAATTGATATCTATTGCAGCCGCCATCTTGGATTTACATTTCGACAGGACTATCGACTTCAACGCCCCCGAAAACCATGAAAATGACACCCATGATGAAAACATTTATACCTATTGCAGCCGCCACCTTGGATTTACATTTCGACAGCATTATCGGCTTCAGCACCCTCGAAAACCATGAAAATGACACCCATGATGAAAAAATTGATACCTATTGCGGCCGCCATCTTGGATTTACATTTCAACAACCTTATCGGTTTCAACACCCTCGAAAACCATGAAAATGTCACCCATGACAAAAAAATTGATATTCCTTACTTACTTTTAGTACGTACTACTATTTTTATTCTGTGCTTTTAAAATATTGCAATTAAAAAAAATGTCTTATTATTATTATAATCAAGTATTTAAGTAATTTGGTTATTCGAATATTGTGTATTTGTACAGCGATCTTTTTGAGCCGCTGCAAACAACCGAAACAATGTCCACTCACGACGGCGACTGACGTCGAACTGATTGAGTGAGTAAACTACTCTGTGGCTGTAGCTCCCCATTTACAGAAATAATTTATATACAAAGCTACCAAATCAACGAAAATTTCGCCATTTTGGAGCCGAAAAAAATTAATTATAGCTAAACTAAACAAAATTACACTGCCATTTAGATTCAGTGGATTCCCACATGATAGATGAAGAGATTAAAAAATAGATTGAGTTAAACAATTGATATTTTCAAAAGTTATCGTGTTTACAAGCCTTGGGGACATGATTTATCCACACCATAAGCCACTAAAACCCCTTTTTTATTAAAAAATAGTAATTAATCGATTAAAAAAAAATATTAATAAGTTCAACAATCATTTATCTTTCTAACAATGTGCTTTTTATATCATTTATATGTATAGTATTATGATTGCTAGATACGATTTTATTCGATAAAACGTTGTTTTTAGGCGATAGTAGAACATACCTTGCGCTTTCGCTTAAGGCATGCAATAAATAATTATAACGGGCCTCGCCCCTCCCAATTTTGTGTTATTCCTACAACGCCACTACACTGTTAAAAATATGTGACATGAAATGTAATAAATATACAATCCTTTGTATAAGTAATGTTAAATATAGAAACTGTTTTGTTGCAGTCTTCATCATTATCATTACGACCATTTACAAGTCCACTGCTTAACATAGACCTCCCGCAAAAAATGATACAGAACACTGCCTAAACTACCTGCATCCATCAACCTCCTGCGTATGTTACGAGGTTGTCTGTACATAACAGTGGAGGGCCGTCCTACACTTGTTTCCGGTACGAGATCGCCACTTGAGAACCATTCCGTCCCATAGCACATGTTGGTTCTTCAAGCTGTACAGCCAGATAAGTGCCACTACAGTTTTCCGTCGTGTTATTAATTATTATCAGCATCATCGACGGACTCAACTCGGTTGGGCAGCGTTCGGGAAATTACGGCACATCTTCCCGTCGGGTATACCTCAAAACTTGAAAACGAGACTGTACAACCAGTGCGTGTTGCCAGTGGTGACCTATGGAACTGAGACGTGGTCCTTCACTGCTGGCCGGTTGAGGGAGCTATGGAGAGGGCTATGCTCGGAGTTTCTCTGCGTGATAAACTTAGAAATGAGGATGTCCGCAGTAGAACCAGAGTGACCGACGTAGCCCAACAGATTAGTTAGCTGAAGTGGCAATGAGCCGGCCATATAGCTCGAAAAACCGACAACCGATGGGGAAAAAAAGGTTCTCGAGTAGCGGCCTCGTACCGGCGGACGAAATGTAGGGCGCCCCCCACTAGATGGAGTGACGACCTGGTAAGACATGCAGGAAGTCGATGGATGCAGGTGGCTCGGGACCGTGCTTTGCGGCATTCCTTAAGGGAGGCCTATGTTCAGCAGTGGACTTGTGAAGGGCTGTAATGATGATGATAATGATGATTATCTGCAAATTTAAATTGTGTACAATAGAATAGAATAAAATGATTTTTATTCAACATAGATTACAGTAATACTTATTGAAAGTAATTTTTTACTTTTACCACTGGTTCGCAAAAAAACCTCTATCCTGGGAAGAACCAGCAAGAAACCATGCGGGACTTTTTTTTAAAATAAAATCAATTTACAATATATTATTTTATACAATAGTCTGAAGACATTAGAAACAGTATGGTAACGATCACCTCATTCCCAGGGGTTATTTTCAATCATGTACTCTTTAGTAGTATGAACAATTATTTGCTTAGTAAAAATTTTATGGCCCTTCTACACTACTCGCGAAGTAGATCGAAGTTGGGCGAGGAGAATAGTGTAGAGAGGTAGGTACTTCGATTCGTGTAACCTCGCTTCGCCTCGGGCGACTTCCGATCGCTGTCGGTTTTTTTGCGTCCGAGTCAAAGGACTTCGCGAAGTGCCCCGAAGTTACACGAAGCGTTTCACTACACTACTCGGCGTACGCCAGTTATATATTAATTTTTTTATACATTAACGTCGTACTCTTCACACAATTAGCTACCTATAGCAGCTGCCTGTTGAACGTTATTTGTGTTAAGGGTGCGGGCAATTCAATACGACTGAGCTCTTCGCGAAGTAGCACGAGTGTGTAGTCACGTTCTTCGGACTGCGATCGACTTCGACGAGCACTTCGTCATAGTTACTTCGCGAGTAGTGTAGAGAAGGCATTAAACTTTTATACCACGTTTTTATTAAGTCACTTGCTTGTGTGTTTTTCGGGGTGGCATTCAGTAATTGATTTTAAACTAACTTCCCGCTGAGCTGACATCTTGAAATTTTGAATATAGTGCAAATTCGGATGACAATGCAAGAATATAATAAAAGAAATGTGCTATATATATATATATATATATATATATATATATATATATATATATATTTTGCTTGTTCATTCATGTATTCCTTAATATTGATAGATAATAAAGTTATATACCTTTGCTTATTTCTAGGTTGAAGACAAAACGTTATCACTAAGATCAAAGAGGCAGAGGGAAACGGAGACTGTGAAACAGGAGTTGCCGAGTAAGAGAGTCAAGTATGTTTGTATTGCTTCCTTAGTTAGTTACTTTAGTTTAGTTTACGACGGGCTGTTTTCCGCAACTTTCCACGTCTAATCGTATATTTTGCGTGTGGGCAGAAATATTGTGACTATTCGAGCTATGAAATCTCCCCGAAGAAGTTCAATAGTCCTTTCCATGAGCAAACCCTTCATTTTCTGGATTCTTACCAGGATATATGATAAATTCCATAGGCTCAGTGATAAAAACGGGTGTGCCACAAGGGTCCATTCTTGTCCCATTCTTAATTTTCTTCTAATTCTTAATTTTATATGCCGAAGTAATACATTAGTTTAATTTACGACGTGCTATTTTCCGCAACGCATTAACACTTATAAGGGACACACTAACTCCAGCCATTTAGGAGGAGTTCAGTCACATACACACGGACAGAAGAATTATATAATATGTAATATGCATGTTTTTTTTTATAGGATACGAGCACCAGTCCACCCGATGGTAAGTGGTCACTGTGACCCATAGACATCTACATCTATCCTCAATAAAGACTCAAGATGCAGATGCGTTGTCACCCGTGAGGACTAACATGGAATGCCTGCACTAACCATACGAAACACAGCAGCGTTAAGCTGCTATTTTACGCTGGTTTTCAAAGAAAGGTTTATATTTATTATACTTATAAACCTTTCTCTTGAATCATTCTGTCTATTGATGAAAATGGAAATCCGTTGCTTAGTTTAAAAGATCTAAGCGTACAGACGGCCGGAAGCGACTTTGTTTTATACTATGTAGAGATTAATTAAAATGCAGATGTGTTGTCATCTCTGAGACTTAAGAGGGAATGCTTCGTTTGCAGTAAAAAGAGGGAGAACCATTACCATCTTTTGTTTTTTATGTTTATATACCCCTGCTACGTTCCTGTTTTTTTTTTAATAGGAACATGGCATTTCGTAAATCAATAAAAACTAGGTACCTTCTAAAATTACTAAAGCTACCCAATACCGCTATTAGACATCCACCACCCAAATTTATCATATATAAAAAATAAAAGAAAATCTTACTTAATCCTACTTAAAGAACAATGGCAGACTTTCATACATAAAATTAGTTGAGAAGAAATGGTAGCGTCTTATATACCAAAAATATCTTAAAATGTTAAGCCTCAGTCCCTTAATAACACTGTCAAAGAATTTTGTACTGAGAAGGCGTCAAAAAAAAGATATTTCCATTTGAACTTTTTAGGTTATGTCCTATGTCACTTGGAAAAGTCATGCTTCCTGTGGTTGTTTGATGTTAGCTTAATACATAATACCTAATTGAGAGTTTTTAGATTATTGTATCTCTATTATATATTTGCATACTATAAATGTATATTTCTGGCATGGCTCCAGGGCTTTTGTACCATAGTGACACTCTCAGAAGGGCTAGAACCCAGCGCCGTAGAGCCAGTAAAAAAAACAGTGACATTTTATTTTAGCTAGTGTTGGCATAATATTAAATGGAATTGTTACATAGTACTATGATTGAGATAATTTATTATTGTAGGAAATTCTTTGAAAGAGACTTATTCTCAGCCATATCACTTTTATTTTTTTTATTACTGATGGTACATTATTATTATAGTTATTACTAATTATAGTTATTACTAATAATAACTTAATATAAGAATATTTTGTGTGTTGTGTTGGTAGTCTTACAAAGTGTATACGAAAATAGTATAAATATACTAAATGGCAACACTTGAACAGAGTAAAATGATTTAAGTCATTTGATATTCCCAAAAATGTTTGTTTTTTTCTGTGGCTTTAATTAAAATACATTTTTATTTGAAAAATCATAGAGAAATAATAAAACTCATTTTATATATAACTTATTTCTAGACGCAATAATTTTTCTCAACTATTTTTCTGCCATTGCTCTTTAAATGTAAAAGATTAAAATGGTCTCTGTCATCGTTGTGACAAAGGGAAGTTCTTTAATAATAACGGCCACGAAAAAGCAGTTTTTTTTTTTTTTTTTTTTATAGGAGAGGGGGCAAACGAGCATGCGGCTCACCTGATGGTAAGTGACTACCGCCGCCCATGAACAACTGCAACACCAGGGGAATCGCAGATGCGTTGCCGGCCTTTTAAAAAGGAGTACGCTCTTTTCTTGAAGGTCCCTAAGTCGTATCGGTCCGGAAAAATCGCTGATGGTAATCGATTCCACAAGGAGGTCGTGCGAGGAAGAAAACATCTTCTAAATCCCACAGTGGTGGACCGCCAATCATCCAGATGGTGTGGATGGTATCGGGAGTTCTGCCGCGATGTGCGTTCGTGAAATTTGGCGGCTGGGATTAATCCGAACAATTCCTCAGAGCACTCCCCATGGTAGATGCGAAAGAAAATGCAAAGGGATGCAACATCTCTTCGCAGTGCCAATGAATCGAGCCGATCGGAAAGGGCTCGGTCGTCGACAAATCGAGCCGCTCTGCGTTGGATGCGGTCAAGTGGAAGGAGCTGGCACTGGGGAGCCCCTGCCCAGAGATGGGAACAGTATTCCATGTGAGGCCGAACTTGCGCCTTGTAAAGTAGCAAGCGGTGTGCCGGCATGAAATACTGTCCCGCTCTGCTGAGCACGCCAAGCTTTTTAGAGGCCAATTTGGCCTTCCCTTCCAAGTGACCACGAAACTGCACGTCACTCGATATGTCGACTCCGAGGATACCGATACTGGCTGAGGCAAGAAGGGGAGTGCCTTGAAACTGAGGAGATACGAGAAAGGGGTTCTTTTTAGCGGTAAACGCGCAAACTTGTGTCTTCTGAGGATTAAATTGGACTAGATTTAGTCGCCCCCAATCCGAGACTTTGTTCAGCAAAGAATCGACTTCAGACACAAGTTTGTTCCGGTACTCAGCGACGTTTTCCCGAGAAATATTGGCACGGCCGGTGTATAGAGCATCACCAGTGCTGTCATCCGCATAGCAATGAATGTTACCAGTTAGCAACATATCATTGATATGCAGAAGAAACAGCGTTGGTGATAGCACACAGCCTCGTGGAACACCAGCGTTAATAGGCTTGTAGTCAGAGCATGCACCGTCTACAACGACCTTGATGCTCCGATCTACAAGGAAGCTGGTGATCCAATTGCACAATTTCTCGGGAAGCCCATAGGAAGGGAGCTTCGAAAGAAGCGCTTTGTGCCAAACCCGATCGAAGGCCTTCGCAATGTCCAGACTAACGGCCAACGCCTCCCCCTTGGACTCTACTGCCTCCGCCCATCTATGGGTCAGGTAGACCAGAAGATCACCAGCTGATTGACCCCGACGAAAACCGTATTGGCGGTCACTAATCAGCTGGTGATCCTCAAGGTACCGGATGAGCTGGCAGTTAATAATGGATTCCATTATTTTGGAGAACAAGGAGGTGATGGCGATAGGCCTATAGTTGGATGGGTCTGAGCGGTCGCCTTTTTTAGGGATCGGGTGGACAAAAGCTGTCTTCCATGAATTCGGGACTACGCCTTGGGAGTAGGAGTACCGGAAAAGACGCGTTAGGACCGGTGCCAACTCCGGAGCACACGTCCTCAGCACAATTGGGGGGATTCCGTCAGGCCCACTCGACTTCTGGATGTCCAGGGAGAGCAGTGCTTTGCGAACCGAGCGCTGTGAGAACAGCACATCTGGCATGGAGCACTCACACCGCGGGATGGTCGGCGGTGTTTTCCCCCCGTCATCAAGAGTCGAGTTGGACGCAAAAAGGGAGCCTAAAAGGTCGGCTTTGTCTTTTGCGTCATGGGCCAGTGAGTCATCCTTCCTGTGCAGAGATGGTAGTGATGGCTTACAGAAATTCCCTTGGACAGCCTTGGCGAGAGACCAGAATGCACGGGTTCCCGAAGGAAGGCGTACTAGTTTCTCGCCAATTCTGCCTATGTGCTCTGACTTTGCCTTGGCAATAACTCTTTTGAAGGACCTGGAGGCGAAGTTTCAGTTTCATTAATCATTATATAATTAAGTTCCTCCCTCCCTTACAGTTTATCAAAAGTCTACTGCTTAACATAGATCTCACTCACAGATTGCCCAATATGGAATCCCTCCCCCTTGCCATAGTTGGGTTGGTAACTGCAGTTATTTTAGTTGTTAATAGGAAGGTTGCCGTCCATTTGCTGTTTCAGATACCATCTGTCGCCCTTAAGACGGGATGATATGATTAGGAAAACTGTTTAATTCACAGAATAGCAGTGAAACCGACACCGAAAGCTGCACCGAAGTCAATACCGAAACCGATAGTGAAACCGCCTCTGCGCAAGCTTCCGAAGCGTGACGTGACGATGCAAACGAAGCCGCGGCCCAGGTCACCGTCGCCACAGTACGAATGCAGAGTTTGCGCCAAGAAGTTCCACACTCCGCAGTCGCTGTCCAATCACACGAGGTCACATCCAGCTGCGCAAACACACAACAAGTAAGATTCTAACTAAATATATCTTTTTTTGTCTTGATCGATCTGTAGTGGTTTATTTGGTAGAGCCAAACTTACATGGTAAAGCTAAACCAGTTTTATTATGCTTGTAGTTTTTTATTGGATAGGGTGACAAACGAGCACACAGTCCACCTGACGGTAAGTGGTTGCTGTGACCCATAGACATCTACATCTAACCTCAATAAAGAGTCAAAATTGAGATGCGTTGTCACCCGTGAGGGCTAAGATGGGAATGCCTCTTGTCCAGTAAAAAGGGTCTCCGGTTCTCTACACTCACCATACGAAACACAGCAGCGTGAAGCTGCTATTTTACGCTGGTATTCTGTGCTACTTGTCTGGTCGAGCCGACCCATTCGTGTTACAACTATACTATTAATATAGCTGCAGCATGGCTCTACCACGTATAAATTTACTAGTTGACCAGGCAGACGTTGTTCTGCCCTTTTCGACGACCCTTCATAGAAAAAATCCTTAAATTCATAATTAAAAAAAAATTGAGCGTCGCTTATCAGGATAAAAACTATCCTATCTCTCAAGTTGGACGAAACTGCACAGTGTGTGCAAATTTCATTGAAATCAGTTCAGTAGTTCGAATTCTTCGCGGACAAACAATGTCACACGTAATTTTTATATATAAAGATTAGTATATTTAAAAAATATATATAGGAATTTCCATATATTACTGCAGAGATAACATGGAATTCCTATATATTTTATACTTTTCTTTAGCTGAACATTAAGATGGAATGGCTCACAGCCATGTAATGAATAAACCTTAATACTGGCTCTGTACCCTTCACACCGGAACATACTGGTGCACGAGCCGCTGTTTGGTGGCAGAAGTAGGTACCCACATGGACTTATAGGGTGAAGAGTAGTGTTACAAACCCAGTGAACTAAGGTTATGTTTGGATATACACTGCGAGCACTGATCAGTGCTCTCACTGGTGAACAATTCGTTCCGTCATGAACCGCCAGTATACTGCAGCAGTGTAAGTAGCGGCACGAAAGTCTAACAGTGACCGTTATTGCGCATAAGTAACACTGATTTGCTCGTGCGTATCGTTCGCACGCGCTGATTGGTTCTCCAGTCGCATTCGTGCAATTCAATTCGTGCGCGTACCCTCCACGTTTCGTTCAAGGCTAGACTTACGTGCCGCGACATGTACCCTAGGCAAATATATGAAGTCATAAATCGCCGCTACTTTTATACTGCGAGCACTGGACATAACAGTGTGTAGTGATTTAACAAGTTTCATGAATGATTGTTATTATTATTGATTAATATTTTTATTCAAATAAACTGTCATTAAGTTTTAAAAGCAACAACATTTAAATAATAATTTTTCTTGTTGAACACAAAACGTGTACGTGATAAATATTTTCATTTGAAAACAGTGTCGAAAAGTGGGTATGACCGTATACTGGACTGCGTTCCGTTTTAAACAGTAGTTTAGTTTTTAGTTTAGTTTACGACGGGCTGTTTTCCGCAACTCCACGTCTATGCGCGTATTTTGCGTGTGGGCAGGAATAATGTGATTATTCGAGCCATGAGATCTCTCCGAAGAAGCCCAACAGGCCCTTGATGTTGCATGCAACTTCGGGGAGTGATCCCGGCGTGCCGAGATGTTTAGCCCTGTATGTAGCGACCTCCGGACATTTCAGTAGCACGTGGGCCGCCGTTTCTTCCTCCCCCATACATGCCCTGCACAGGGGACTATCTGTAACACCTATAGTAAATAAATGTTTGTTAAAGGTGCCGTGTCCTGTGATAGCACTTGTTACTATCCTAATCTGCGGCTTGTTCAGTCTCATTAAAACTTTTGTTAAGCGACTGTTAATTTCAGGCAGGGCATCCCTAGCTTGTCTACAGTCTACTAGATTTTTCCAAAGCTGAGCGTGTTGATTAGTGAAGTGTCTACGTACCAGTGAACAAACGTTACCAAAGGGGATTGGTATGATTGGTTCCGGCCCTATAGTGGCCAAAGCCGATCCTCTTCTGGCAAGTTCGTCTGCTGCATCGTTGCCTCTGGATCCACTGTGTCCCTTTATCCATTGCAGGGTCACATTGTTGTTTTTACATACCTCATTTAATCGTTGATGGCATTCATATATTAGTCCCGAGTTCACCACATTGCATCTCAGGAGTTTTGATTGCTTGGAGTACCGCCCTACTGTCGGTCAGTATTCTGATGGGGAAGTCATTAACCTTCCTAGCATCTATTGCTATGGCCGCTTGAATGATACCCATACATTCCGCCTGAAAGACCGTGTTATAGGTACCCAGCGGTGTGCATATGTGAATATTGAGGTCTTCAGAGAAAGCTCCACAACCTACACCTTCATTTGTTTTAGAACCATCGGTGAAAATTCTAAGCTCTTTTGGGCTTAATCCTTCCGGCTGGCTGTTTTCATTTAACTGTATCTTGTATTTCTTATCGAAAACAAATTGTTTAGGAATCCTATCGTATTTGGCTTGTAGGATAGGAATTTTTGAGTGAATTCTATCAATTATGCCTGTATGAGGGACACTATTCTTACTCCAAAGATTTAGGGTCTTGAGTCTGATGGCAGCTAAAGTCGCTTCTTGTTGTATATGTAGATGAAGCGGAGTTAGCTCCAGCATCGCTTCTAAGGCTGCTGTTGGCGTAGTTCTCATGCAGCCTGTAGCAGCCATACATGCCAGTCTCTGGTAGCGCTGAAGCTTTTTAATTATGGTGGCTTCATTTGTCTTGGTCCACCATACCAGAGCGCCGTATGTGATCATGGGCCGAATTACAGTTTTGTAAAGCCACAGTATGATTTTTGGCGTCAATCCCCATCTTTTGCCAATCATGTTTCTGCATTGCCAGAAAGTTATACTAGCTTTTTTGATTTTGTTTTCTATGTGTTTATTCCAGTTAAGTTTACTGTCCAAGGTAAGACCTAAATATTTTACCTCAGAGGATAGCTGGAGTTTTGTGCTAAAAAGACTTGGAGGATGATAGTTATTCAGCTTTCGTTTTTGTGTGAACATAACTAAAACCGTTTTATTTGGATTGACGGTTAAGTCGTGTTCCCTGCACCATCTCTCCACTATACGGAGAGCCGCTTGGGTCAGGTCGCACACTATGCTTGCTGTCTTTCCAGAGACCAGTATTGTCAGGTCATCAGCATAACCTACTGTATAGAAGTGATTGTCATTTAATTTGCTGATGAGTTCATTAATAACCATATTCCACAGGAGAGGTGAGAGAACCCCACCCTGCGGGCAGCCTTTCTTAATTTGGATTGGTTGAGATTCACCAGCAATCTTTATTATTCGTGTACTGAGCATGTAGACTATCCAGTCGATCAGTGCCGGTTCAACTTTGTGTCTACCGAGTGCACCTTTTATGCTAGAGAAGTTCGTTCGGTCAAAAGCACCTTCTATATCTATGAAGGAACCTAGACATATTTCTTTGTTTTGGATGGCCTCTTCAATCTTTGTAATTACCTTATGAAGGGCCGATTCTGTTGATTTGCCTAGACTGTAGGCGTGTTGCTTGTCGTGTAGTGGTAAGTTCATTAGCGCCGACCCCCTTAATTCCCTTTCACACATCCTCTCCATCGTCTTTAGGAGAAAGGATGTGAGGCTAATGGGCCTGTAGGATTTAGGGTCAGTGTAGTCGCTCTTACCTGGTTTGGGTATGAATGTAACTTTCACTTCCCTCCATCCCCTAGGAACATATTTAAGAGCAAGACAGGCTCGCATTATGGCAGCAAGTCTGACTATTAGGGCTTTACCCCCCCACTGTAGGAGTGCCGGGAATATGCCGTCGGGTCCTGCCGCCTTATAGGGGAGGAAACTGTGAATGGCCCAATGGATTTTGCCCATCGTTACCACTCTCTGTGCTAAATTCCAGTCTTCTGCTGTTGATGTCAGTATGTCGTCATGCCGGTTTGCCTCCTGGGTTACGCAGCAACCTGGGAAGTGCGTTTCAATTAGGATGCGTTGGGCTTCATCCGGCGATGTTGAGTAGCTACCGTCGGGTTTCTTTAGAGACATGGATCCCGACGTGTTCTGTTTAGCTAGAATATTCCTAATCCTATTTGCTTGTTTGCAGGTTTCTATGTTGCCACAGAATTTACGCCACCCAATCGAGCGTCGATACCTGATACATTTTTTGTATTCAGACTTAGCTTTCTTATATAATAGCCAGTCTTCATCCATTGAGGTATTCATGGCCCTATTTAGAGCTTTTCTTACCTTCTTACGTTTTCTATCGAGTTCTTTACCCCACCACGGTTGTTTTACCTCGGCATGTCTTGGTGGAGTGATTTCTGGACATGATTCATGGTAGCTGTCTATCATGGCCTTAGTAACAGCTGCTACCTGTTCTTCTAGGAGCGACTGATCTGCTATAGTATTTATCCCCTCAAAATCCGCTAGCAAAGACGTCAGCCTATTTAGGTATTTAGTTTTATCTGTCTTGCGGGGATTTCTCCATGGTGGTGTAGAGGGGATATCGACCTGTAGTGCGAAGCAGATCCATCTATGGTCTGAGCATGAGGCCTCTCTCGACACATGCCATCCCGTAATTAGTTTGGCTGCTCCTTCTGTTGCAAGTGTGAGGTCGATTATAGTGCGACAGCGTTTGTTTATGAAAGTAGGTTCAGAACCTATGTTTAAAATGGTTAGGTTAGTACTAAATAAATATTCAACTAAAACTTTACCTCGTTCATTTGGTTTTTCCATTCCCCAAAGGGGATGATGTGCGTTGGAGTCCGTCCCGATCACAACCTCTAGTCCGGTCCTCTCGCAGAAGTTCACCAGCCTGCTGAGGTCATGAGGGGGAGGAGTGTCTTCCTCCGGCATGTAGACCGAGGCGACGACTAATCTACTCTCCTGTGTGTACTGTATTGCTACGGCATACATGTCTCTAGAACAGAAATCTGTTAAAGGTTGTGCACAGATATCTTTAGTAGTGTAAATACACGCTCTAGGCTTGTCGTGTTCAGAGCTGTAGAATAACTTACCTTTTAGGTTGTTTAGGCCTTTAATTTTACCAGCCCCAACCCATGGCTCCTGGATTAAGGCTATGGCAGTCCTTTGAACCTCCAACCACTTGCGTAATTGAGCCGACGCAGTTTCGCTGTGGTGGAGGTTGGCCTGCACTAGGCTAGTTTTGGACGAAGGGCACGCCATCATTGATCGCGTCCTCCCCGTCCCCGCCCAAAAATAGGCCTGCCAGAAGATCTCGGGTTTCATCGTCAGCCACCGAGTCGGAGGTGGTCGGCAAAATGCAGTCCTCCTCGTCACTCAGTGAGCTGCCGCTGAGCCCAATCTCCACTGGGGGCTTCGGCTCAATTGTGCAGGCCGTTTCTTCACTGGACTTGGCCTCCAGTGATTCCGCTGTACCGGTAACTATGGCTCCGGTATCCATAACTTCCGGGTTGTTTTCTACCTCTTTGCTCGGTGGAGTATCAAAGAATTTGCCTCCACGACCCTGGAATTTTACGTATACCGCCCCGCATACACATGCGAGACGGCGTCCGGCCTTCATCAGGGTCGGGATATGATCCTCCGGCACCGAAACAACGAGGAACCACCCGTCCGTCTGCTTATCTGCCTTGAGTAACAGCCAGTCCCTGATGTTAACCCAGCGGTTCTGGTACGCCAACACGCGACCAATGTCGCGTGAGTCTTTCCAGGCCCCCTGGGCATCAGGGATAAGGATACCACATTTGACTCTTTGTGGTATCTCTGACTGTTTCTTTATTGTCAGCAAGGTGCTGGATTTAAGGTCGAGGGTAGCAATGTTCCCCTTCAACCAGTCCAGAGCCTTCTGATCGTCGCACCACAGTTTCAGGACACCTTCCGTATAAACGGGTTTGCCCCTAAAAACCGGGCCCGACGCATCAGGGTCCTGGCTACTCCAGGCCTCGCTGATCATCTTCCTCTGTATTGCTACGAGGATGTCGTCTGCTACTTCCTTCGTAATGTGACCTGAACGCGCACACGTTAAGGCCACACCCAAATCTGCTTTAGCAGCGGAAGCGTAGCTCGTTCTTGCAGTCTTTGGTTGCTGTTCGAGTCGCACTTTTTTGTGTTCACCTCTAGGCGAGGTGGACTCTTCCAGCATCCTTTTGGCTGCTCTTTCCTTCTTCCCAGGACGCTTGGCCGCTCGCTGCTTCCTGGCGGATATCCTAGAGCTGGTTCCCGCGTCCGCGACTTCCACTTGGGCTGGATTTTTATCCTTCCCAGCTTCAGCGCGGCTACTGGTTCCAGCGCCAAGCACCTCAGTCGCAGTAGCTTGCCCAGCCTCCTTGGTTTTGGTATCTGAAGCAGCCAATGCGGCTCGTTCTCTACGGCCTTTTTCCCGCTCCTTCTTGTTCTTCTTTTTGGCCTTTCCACTACTGCCTGCAGGGATAGACCCTCCTGATGGTCCGTCAGGTCGGCAAGTCACCTTTTTGGGCGCCTTGCCTTTCCCCTTACGGCTCACCACTTGCCAGGCAGCAGAGAAAAGGTCGTCAGTCCGTAGTGGCTCCGCAGTTTTATCACTTGCGGGCTCTTGTTTCTTTTTCTCTTCCAGCTCCTTGGAACTGGTTTTGGAAACGTTCAGCGAGGTTATCCCTTTGGTGGGGGCACCTACGCTGGACGGTACTGTCCGTGGAACCGTCGGTTTAGTGACGGTTCCCTTTTGTTCTTTGGTGTCTCTGGTAAGCACCTCTGACACCTCTCCCTCCTTCTTATTGGGCCTTAAGTTGTCCATAATTTGTGTTTTTTAAAATTCATCCCCCCGGCTTCCCACCCTCCATGGAGCCCGCACCTTTGGGAACGCCCTACTTTAGGAATTTCAGGCGTTAGGATTACCGGGAGAATATAGGGACGCGAAGTTGGCTCACAGCGCGACATCGGGAGCTCGATCCAGCTGGTAGATGGGGCTGACAAGGCCCATCCCCACCACCCGAATAAACTGTCACTTGCTCCGTCAGCATGGCCTTTACCACCACCCAGCCCCCTTTTCAGGAAGACTAGGCAGCCCCCACATCCCTCGCCTGCGACCCTCTGACGGGGCGCTTGGCCATTTCCCTATCTGTGGCTAGCAGATAGGGCCACCGTTTAGCTTGAAATCCGGACCAAAGAGGGCGTGTTGCCTCTCGCCACTATATACCCCAGCGACGATCGGCTCAACCCTCCAGGACTCCTTCATCCCCGCGTACGGCGCTCGACTGCGCAGGTCCTAGCGCAGGTGGGTGTGTTAGTCCACCGGATACACCCACTCTCTCCGGCGGATTCGTCCCCTCCTCCTTTCTCATCCGGGCTTGGGACCGGCAACGGCGGAGTTAAAAAAGCTTTTAAACAGTAACCAGCATAGCAAACTAAAAAGAACGGGTTCACAGTATATTGAATTGACGTCAGTGTCGTTACAGTGTATATCGGAAGACACTTTTTTTTGGACAACCTTGTCAATAAACTATTTATTACACCTGTATTAATGTGCAGACAGGGGAAAAAAGAACGAGGCGTTTCGTTTGGTGATGGACGAGCACTTCGTGGCAGCGAGGCAGAGCGTTCTACAGGTATGTGAACAAAATCTAATCAATAAACAGCAATCTAACTGCATTATATATCTTTATATATATATAAAATTTGCCAAAAAATTACTTAGCGTACATCCGCTAGATAAAATAAAATGATGTGTCTTACCTAGTTTGAAGAGCACCTCTCGCCCTCCCTCAATTGCACTATCCCCGTCACCACTAATCCCAGCACCACTATACTAGGTTTTTTTTTTAAATTTTACAAACGGCTGCGTAAGTCCGGCGGTGATTGGTATGTTTTATCGCTTGACGCAGTCGCTCGCTCCTTAAGCAGGGAGCGGTTGCGTCAGCGGTAGGTATAAAAGGCAGTTGTTTTTGCTCGCCGCTCACTTAGCGGTTAGCCACCGTAGAGTCTATATCACCTGAGGTTGCCACGTGTAGAGGCGAAACACGTGTCGTATTGTCGTCAGTGGTGTGTCTTTCCTAGTGTAGTGGTGACGGGGATAGTGCACGCAATTGAGGGAGGGCGGGAGGTGCTCTTCAAACTAGATAAGACACATCATTTTATTTTATCTAGCCCATGTACGCAAAGTAATTTTTTGGCAAATTTAATATAATGGACTTCCGCAAAGTAACGCCTGATTCTATTAATTATATTATATATACATAATTTTTCTGTTTGTGTGTTGTGTGGCTGAACTGCTGTTTTATTTAACAGTTAAAAGTTTAAAAGTAATGTTAACCAATTTTTTTAAACATCGCACATAGAGGAGACCAAGGTAATAGGAAACACTGTATACTATATTCATCTCATTCTCTCGCAGGCTAAATCCCATAGATGTATATGCTTGTGTCTTTTTCGTGTCATCGAGTTTCGAACCACGATAATTCTAAAGAAGATTTCATTTCAAAAGTTTTCACTTTAAAATGTTTTTCCCGTTGTTTCAGATAAATGTTATAAATGCGGTCGAGGTTACATGTTACGTAAGAGTCTATTGAGGCATGAGAGCACGTGTACGGCTAAGAAGAAAGGTAAGACTGGTTATGAAAGACGGAATGTGAAAGATTTGATAAATTTTAACGTGGCAGATATTGCAGCTATATTATGGTGTGGCACGAAGGGGTACAGCCGTGGTAGACCAGGGGTTAAGCGTTCGCTGTATATTTCACAGTACGCGAGAAACCTGGGTTCGACCCCCGCCGGCACCAATGAAATTATTAATTGCCGATTTAAGTGCTGATTTACCACGTGCTCGGCGGTGAAGGAAAACATCGTGAGGAAAGCTGCATGTCTGAGAGTTAAGAAAATATATGCGTGAGTGTCGTGAAACACTGTTGGGACGAAGTTCCTTTCGTGGTATATTATTATTGATAAACGTATTATATTATTGATTAACAAGTACAAATAAATGAATTACTCGCGTCTATTAAAATAAAGCGTCATTTAAAAAAAATATATCTTTCATGGCAAGATAAGAAAAAGTCCGAGGGAGATGAATATTACTCCATCTCGCTTCCTTATAGCCGCCAAGGTCGTCTACTACACTACGTCAGAAGGGGTCGTGACGGAAAAATCTTACACTTTTTCTCGCCTAGCCCCCATCCGCCAAATTCTTACCGTCCAATAAGGAACTTCGTTCCAAAAATATTTCGAAAATTTCACTTCACAGAGAACTTCACTGTTCGCCAACACGCATTGAGGCAGCACGGCGGACATTTCCTTGCCCTAAAACCCTCTCAGTAATGAGAGGAGGCCTGTGCCCTGCAGTGGGACGTATTTACGCTGTAACTTTACGCATGGGTCGGCTCGACCGGGGAAGGACCACGCTCTCACAGAATACCAGTGTAAAATAGCAGCTTAACACTGCTGTGTTTCGTATGGTGAGTGTAGAGAACCGGAGATCCTTTTTACTTGAAAAAAGGCATTCCATCTTAGTCTAAGGTTCTCTCAAAAATCTCAAAAATTATAGGAGACGTGTCCAACTGTGGGATGTATTAGTCTTTTTGAAAAAATATCGATACATCAATGTATCGATATTTTTGATTCGATGTATCGACATTCTTAGCCGATATATTTTAATCCGATACATCGATATATCGATTACCAAATATTTAGTATTTTCCTACTTTAAAAAACGTAACCTCCACACTAGGATTTTCTCCTGTATCGCGGGGGCAGTTTACAAACATAGATTTCACAAGGACAAACATCTAGACCCAGAACAATTATTTGTAAGCCATACAAATACTTATAGAGCCGTCAAATAAAAGTAATAATAAAAAAAATTATATCGCAAATCGTATCAAAAACGATTTTTTTAAATCTAATTTATTATAGTCTGCGTTGTAACATGGTGCGGATGACAGTTCACTAGAATGACGAACGACTACTGATTTGCCTGTAATAATAAATTGCTCTTAAAATAGAAGATTTGCTATTTAGTTTTTGATATTTTTTTAATTTTGTCTAATAAAAAGGATTAATGATTAAAATACCTTTGTTTTTTTAATGATTCTCATACTTTAAAATAATCTGCATTTTGTATAAAAAAATTCTAATTACTTATTATTGAGCCAGACTAAACTAAATACATTATTATTTTAAAACCGAAAATCTCTGAAAATTTGACCGATATATCGATATTTTTTACCTCGTGATGTTGAGATCTATATTGATATTCTAATAAATATCGATATATTTTTGACTGCTGATATCCCTAAGATGTATACAGGCTGTAACTACTTTTTTTAGTACTTAAGTCGTCGTGTAGTGGCGGTGTAAGATATCCACTACCACTTATCATCCGGTGGGTGTCCTCAGAGGCGACACAGGGAAATGAAACAGAACGTGGACAGCAGCGTTTTCCTGGTAACGAGTCAAAATAATGACCTCGCCTACCAAGCGTGGCAACTATGGCAAATATTTCCATATGGTATAATATGGTGTCATATGAGGCAATCTATGTTGACCGTGTAGTGGCGGTGTAAGAATATCCACTACCCCATATCGTCCCGTGGGTGTCGTAAGAGGCGACAGGGGGAAACAAACCAGGAGATGGGCACCAGCGTCTTCCTAATAACGACTAAAATAAATAACTGCGGTTCCCAACCTAGCAACTTGCAAATACCCCCTAAATTTATAGGGGAGGCCTATGTTCAGCAGTGGACTTTAAAAGGCTGTAATGGATGGATGTATAGAAGATAATCTACCAGGAGCACATGACCTACTGAGAGGTGAACTATGGCAAATATGCCACCTATAAGGTAATCTGTGGTGGAGGCCGATGTTTAGCATTGAATTTTTAATGGATTGTTATGATGATGATGATGATGATAAGTACTTGTACCTAGGACTAGGACTCAGCCAGACGTAAGTTGACGTGGAGTTGGAAAGCATAGTCCCGGCTCCACTCTTTCGTTCTGTTCATTTGTATTGTGAACGTTTCAGAGGGTCCTGGTGGGCCCAAATTCCGCGGGTTCCGTTCGGTCGGTGCTAGTGCAGATGACGCTAAGGCTGCATTGGATCCAGAGATAGCGGGCAAACTGCGCCCCGTGCAGATTAGAGTGGCGAGATGTGATCCGCTGTTGGCGGAGCAACACACCTGCAGCACCTCAACTTTACCGCAGGTGTGTACCATTGTTAACGGTAACATTGAGATCTTGTATATTTTTTGTGACTTGGTTGTAATAGCGTATACATTGCCCCATGAATTAATTACTTACTCCGTGTAGTCGAGAAACTGGTATCACTAGCTTATGTTTGTTTCTGGTGTTTACAGAGTTTACCTCATTTTTTTTTATTAAAACCACAAAGTTAGTCTTTGTGAACACATACATTTCACACATACATTTTTGTAAATATACGGAGAAGCCAAAGTTAATATATTTATTTCTTTAAATTTATCTTGACAGGATTTTTCGGTTTTAGTTTGTATATAGCTTCTATGACCCTCATCTGCAAAACAAAAATAGTTTTTAAATCAGCCGCCACACACAGGCACATATCCGCCACTCATCCAGGGCATGTACTTGTTTCCATTAAATTCCTTCGTTCTTTTCAATGTTTTATTTAAATTTTCATAAGCAGGGATTGAAAAGCTTCAAGAAATAACAGTAAAGAAGCGATATATTTAGAGATTGTGATACTAGAACCTGAACTTATTTGTAGGTTTTTCAATTAATTTATCTTGAAAAAATACTTTCATTCGGAATTCACAACGCTAGTTTACGGTTTACCTTATAACCCTTTAGGAAGATTAGGAGTTTTTAAAAAAAACTAGCTGGTTACCTTAAAATGCGTGTGTTTGAGGTAGTTCGAATGGCGGATTCGAACCCACGATATTTGAGTTCGTGGTTCGCCCACTAACATTAGGCTACTGTCGCTTCAATTAAGGCAACTTCTCCCGGAAACGGAAATTCAAAAGGGGCTATGTTCAGCAATGGACTATTACGTGTTGATGATGACGATAATCACGTTAATAGTGACGATGAAACATAAATTAATCAATCCTTTTGTCAACAGGAGTTCGGCCTGGATAGTAACTGCGTATATCCATACATATCGTCGGTGAGAAGTCTCCGTATCAAAAGTGAACCAGGCACCGAGATCGACGGCATGGTCGAAATTAAAGACGACGTTAGAGCTGATTTTGATCTAGACGCCGTCTACATTCATTGGGATTCGGATTGCAGTAGCGACAGCGAATCAGAACCTACCCTAAACCTCGTAATCAACCCTAATGCCAAGAAAAAGAAGGTTGAGAGACTTTCTACACTAACCCTCAAAACCATATTCTCCGAAAAAGTCCTGGGTAAAGTGCCGATGAAGCGTAGGAAGGTAAAAGTGGAGAGTTCGTGTGAAAATATTAAAAGTACACTTAACACTGATGAAGTCAACAGTACTGTTCAATGTTTAAATAGTAGCGATGACTCTGAATGGAGAAGCAGTAGAGAAAATGAAAAGGTCAATACAGATGCGACTTTACTGTGTGCAAATGAGAATAATGTTAACGCTACAAGAGATGAAGAGTCCACGACAGGCGATGAAAATATTAATAAAGAAAGTGAAGAAAGCAATGTTGCAGATAGTGCTGCAGAAAAATCAAGGAGTAATGGGGAAGATGCCTCAAATACCAGCGAAAGCGTTATCGAAGATGCTGTAAAAACAAAGGATGAAACGAGCACAGTAGAAACTGTAGACAGTGCTAATTCTAACGTTGATAGTTATCAAGCATCTGTAAAAATAGATGAAAAACAGGCGATAGATGAGAAAATGGAAAAACTGAATGAAGAAACTAGTGGTTCAAGTCAAGATTTAATTTCCGATATTGTTTCGCGATTAGATGGAAACAATGGTCTTCTTGAACCGGAGAAAGTTTCGGAAAATGCTTCTGAAGTACAAAATGTAGAAACCACCATAGATGATAACAGAATGCCTGAAATTGAAAAAGGAACCAAAAACGATGCAGAAGAAAGTACAACGCAAGAAAAGGAAAATGAAACAACAGAAGGTAAACTAGAAGAGAAAAATAGCAAAGAATCGCGAGCACAAGGTGGTTCAAATGAATTGTTTCAGGAAACTGATAATGACTCGAATATTAAAGGAGCAACCACACATGAAGAAGTAAATGGTGAAATGGTGAACGAAAGTACAGATAATAATTCTGTAGAGGATGCACAAAACAGTCAGACAGACGACCCTGCAGATAATAAAATGGATATAATGGATGAAGATTCGAATTATCAAAATGAAATTCGTGAGACTGAAAAAGATCTGGAAGCGATTCAAAAATCAGAGGATGACGATAGACTAGAGAAATCAATTAAAGATAATTGTAATATTTACTCTGACTCGGTAGTTAACGCACCTGAAGCAACAGATCTGGAAAGTCATTATAAAGAAAACCACAGAACAGGAGAATTAATTCATAATAAAATGCAAGATAAAGAAAGTAACTCTGAACAGGTGAATTTCGCGGTTAATACAGAGAATCAAGGAACTGGAGAGAATATTACAGAAATGTGTAATAACATTAAAAATGTAAATGGACAGACAGATAAACAAAGTTACAAATTAAACATGGAAGACTTAGACGACATCAGTGACACTGAAATGGATGACAGGAAACTAATGGAAGCATTGGATGCTCAAATCGGGGAGGGAGATTCTAAAGAAGAAAAAGGTACCGATAAAGACAAAATAACCCTAGAAGACCTTCTCCCCGATAAAGCTTCGGACATCAAACCAATGGATTTGGACAGTATAGCCGACGAATTCAATTTCGATCCATAGTTTTCGGTGAACATATTTCATTTGTGGTCAACCTAGTGTTGCCGCGATTAAAAAATCCAGTGATTTTGCGGACATTTCGATTATTAGTTTGTATAATGGAATTGTATTTTTATATTTTGGAGTAAATATTTAGTCAACTAAGTTCGGAATTTTTATGACTAAAAGTGTTCGTGGAAATTATTTTTACTTATAACGAAATTAAGTGATGTGTGTGAGACGAAGAATGTTAGTTGTGTTAATTTGTTGTCATTGAATCATATTATATTATTAATTAATTCCAAAGCACGTTTTGGATAATTCTTGGTCCTTCAAGCTCAACCAGAATTCTACCATTATCTTTTTATCTATTGTCATGTGAGGAAATTAGTTTGTTAATGTTAAAATATAGTATTTTCGACTGCTCTTAAAATATAGGTTCATTTAAGTATTGCTTCACGTACACCAAAGTGAGTTAATAGAAAACGTGGTAAAATAGGGAATCGCACATAGAACAATGTTAATCATAATTTTTTATATTTTTTAAAAGTAATCATGGCGGTGAAACGTCATTTTATCAATGACAATTGACATAATTTACTATGTATGTGACACTTGACAGAATTCTACTGTCAGAGCACTTGACAGAATTCTACTGTCAGAATGATTGGTGCTCACACGTTAACAAATGCTAATTTTCCAAATTTTTAAAAGTTTATCGAGATATATTAAATTTGTGCTATCTTAAATTGGTTTGAATGTGTTTGTGTCATTTAGATATATTAACAAACATTCTGCTTTTTTTTTAAACATAATGTGTTCTGCATCACTTCCATGATTGACTTGACACTGGGAGTTTTGGCGGGAACTTGACCGGCGGCGTGTTGCTGCTCCTGTATTATTGTTTAAATAATGGTTTGGAGTGTATTCTGATATGTTAAAGTAACGCGATTTTGTGTATTAAATGTCTGCGCATGTGAACTTTTAGTGGAAACTATGAAAAATGTGCTCCGATGGTGATGTGAATATCAAGATAAGGAGTCTGCTTAGGCGCCTTGAGATACTATCTCCAACTGTCTGGTGGCTCAAGTTGCCGTCAAAAATCTCACACAAACTACGCAATGTGGCGCACCAACATATTATTTTGAAGCAGTGTACTATAAAGAATTATTATCATTTGGTACTGAGATAAATGAAGACATGGCTTAAAGGACAAGCATCCAAGCCAAAAATATTTATAAAAAAATGACTACATTAGCTTAGTAATAGTTTTGCTTGTTTGTACCCAATTTTATTACAAGTAGCGATTGTTATATACATTTATTTTCGTTTTAAAGTTGATATACGGTAGAATATATTTTTGATGCCTAACATTTTAGGTGTGCTTTTTGGTTTGGGGGTAGAAATGTTAATTTTAATTGTAGTTATTTGGTACTGTATGAATGTTGTATTATGTTTGTAAGTAAAATACAGATATTGTAAATATGTCATCAGATAATATAACCATTGTTTTGTAATACCGATGCCTTTTATTTATTCCTGTAGGAAAAATATCTCGGGCTATAACAGACCACTATACCGGACTAGAGTCCACTGGTGGCAAGTCTGTCCGGGGTTCGGGTACTAAGTCAATCCAAAAAAATATAATATTCTTGAAGTCACTGGAGGGTTGAATTTAGGAATTTGGAGAACAAATTTTATACGTAGAGAGCTCAGTATATATAAAGTTACTCTGCGCGGTAGAGCCGTGCTGGAGATACATTGGTAATTACAGGAATGAGTTTTCTCGAATGGCCCAAAATTTTATTACAAACGGTTAATAAACGACAACAAATGAATGCTTTTGTAGCTGCTTTTCATGCTTAATGTTTTGTCGATTAATACATTTTAAAATATTTGTGTTTATACGCGGTAGAGCCACGCTGTAGCTATATTAATAGTATAGTTGTAGCACGAATGGGTCGGCTCGACCTGGGAAGGACCACGCTCTCACAAAATAGCAGCTTCACGCTGCTGTGTTTCGTATGGTGAGTGTAGAGATTACCATTTTACGGAGACACATTTTACTGGAAAAGAGGCATTCTATTTTAGTCCTCACAACGCATCTGCATTTTAATTCGCAAACGAGGATAGATGTAGATGTCTATGGGCCACAGCAACCACTTACCATCAGGTGGACTGTGTACTCGTTTGTCAACCTTATCTATATAAAAATATATATCGAAATTGACGAATATCGATATATATTGCGAATAATCAAAAAGTAAAAATATCGACGATATATCGATATTTTTACCCAAGCCTAAAGCAGAAAGTTCTATTTGGCACCAACCAACATACCTCTCTCCTTCGCATACATCGTCATGTCTATGGCAAACTTGCGAATCTGTCATTTTCGCTTAATACTGTTTATTGGCCTAATCTGTCCCCAATGTAATGGATACAACTGTGACTTGCGCATTTACAAAAAATTTTGATAAAATATTGTTACGAGTAGTTGCCGGAATCACGCGAGCAATGCCGACCAGGCTGGCGCCGCCAGGGCGCGCCGAAACACGACACTATGTATCCGAGCGTCGGCGTGTGCGACAGGTCTTGTGAGAATAATAACTTGAGTGTTAAAAGTATTAAATGAAACTAAAGTGATTGAATGTATTGAGGTATAATGAACAGTTGATTGTACAAGTGAATTAAATTGTATTGCAGCATAAGAAACGTTTCATTTTACAATATATCCTAACCTATTATAGATACAGATTTGAAACTTCCACAGTATGTATTATTACATTGAGGTCGAATTAGGCCAATAAAGAGTATTAAGCGACAATGACAGATTCGCAAGTTTGCGACGACATGCTCGTCTGTTAATGTTACTTTTGATTTGGCACATCATCAATATACCTAGTCAGGTCATAAATTCTGTCATATGTTTAATATAAAATAATTGAAACAAGTTTATTCATTATTATTTATTCATTATGTATTGTCATGCACTATTCAAAATTGTTTCACTAATAGTGAAAATAGTTGGCAAAAATTATTTACTTTCGCGTATTCTCATTTTCATTTTGATAAAACAATAAATGAATCAATTACGTCTCAACTAAAAGAGACATCTTTTCAAAATTTAGATTACCCAATTAATACTCATTTATCTCGACCACGTCCTAAATTTGATTTAAAAAAAGTAGTTGAGTCGAAAGTAATGGATGGCGACTTAAAAAATGCATCCCGTATTTTATTCTCAGACGACATCCTTGCTCCTCGTAATGTCGAAACTCTTGAAAGCCTTCGTCAAAAGCATCCTTCGGTCAAACCGTCTCAGGATTTACCGCTGCCTCCCAAGACTTCTATGCAACCTTTACAAATTTCGGAAAAAGACACTTTAGAAGCAATTATGTCATTTTCGAATGGCTCTGCTGGCGGCATTGACGGAATTACGCCTCAACATCTTAAAGATCTTGTAAGCGCTTCTGCGGGTGACGCCGGCGGAGTACTTCTTAAAGACATTACAAAATTATGTAACTTTATGCTTTCTGGTAATGTTAATCCAAATTTCATTCCATTCTTATATGGGGCAAGATTATGTGCCTTCAAAAAAAAGGATAACGGTATCCGTCCTATTGCCGTTGGTTCCACATTTCGACGCTTAACTTCAAAATTAGCTTGCAGGTACATAATCTCTAACCTTAAGACCAAATTTCAGCCTACTCAACTAGGTTTTGGCACTAGAGGTGGCTGTGAGGCGGCGGTACATTCAGTGCGTACATTTTTAACAAACTCTGATGCAGATGTTCTTGTGAAGGTTGACCTAAGGAATGCTTTTAACTCTATCGATAGGGTAACCTTGCTGAAAGAAGTGGCTAACAATACCCCCGAAATTTATCATTACGTTTGGCAATGTTATAGTCAAAATACTAACTTGTTTTACGAAAACCATGTTATCGATTCTGCTGTTGGTGTTCAGCAGGGTGACCCTCTGGGTCCAGCACTTTTCAGTTTGGGAATTCAACCCATTATTTCAAATTTGAAATCCAAGCTGAATGTCTGGTACCTAGACGACGGTACACTGGGAGGTAGAGCAGATGACGTCCTCAGCGATCTTACTCATATTTTTCGAAATTTTAAAAATATTGGCCTTGAACCAAATAGCAATAAATGTGAAATATTTTTTTCCAATAATTTATCTACTTCTCATAGAGACACTTTAATTCAAAATTTTAATCATATTTGTCGAGAAAAAAAAATGTCAATACGGAATCACTATACCTGCTAGGTGCCCCGTTGTTTTTCGATAGTATTAAACCGGTTTTAAAAACAAAATTTGATCAGTTTTTAAACCACGTTGATAAATTGTATAAATTAAACCCCCACATAGCTCTTACTATTTTAAAATATTGTCTTCTTGTACCTAGATTTACATACTTACTCCGCTCGAGTCCAGTCTGGAAATGTTCGGATATTTTACAAGATATTGATAATAATCTTAAAATTGCTATAGAAAAAATTCTAAATTTAACTTTAAATACAACAGCCTGGACTCAAGCTACTTTACCTATAAAATTTGGTGGCATTGGTGTGAGAAATCTTTCTAGCGTTGCATTGCCTGCTTTCCTTGCTTCCGTGCATAGTGTCAGTGACTTATGTAACATAATTTTAAATAATAAAGTAGACCTATGCTTTGCTACGGAGGCAGGGCAGACATGGCAAACGCTCTGTCCTGGTGAAAATATTCCACTGGAAGTTAACCAACAAAAACAGTGGGATATTCCGTTGGTACAGGGCGTGCAGAAGGATTTGTTTCATAATTTCCATAGTAACCAAGATAAGGCACGCCTTCTAGCTGTTTCGACTAAGGAATCTAGTCACTGGTTACACGCTTTACCATCAAGTAATCTCGGCACATTACTTGATAGGGAAAGCTTGCGTATTGCCGTAGGAATCCGACTAGGAGCAGCGATTTGTCAACCCCATCAATGCCCCTGTGGTAGCAGCGTCGACAAGTTTGGTCTCCACGGACTTTC